CAGCAGCATTACTTTCACAACTTAAGTACTGTACATAGACAAAACCACTGACATACAGTGCTTCTGCTTATACGAAGATTACGTCGAACCAAACACTGAAATCAGCAAAATGACACCGACCGCAACCGCATTTCTGGCGAACTGTGCGAATGCTTCGAAAATGCAAAAATCAGACTGGGCATCCCGTCGGTTAGCTTTACATATCGAACAATTTTGATATTATCCTTGGCGGAAACCGGGAATGCTGCGAATGTGAGAAAATCAGACCCGGCATGTCATTGGGTATGCTTACAAAGACTGACCTTTAAAATACCCTTGGCGAACGCTGCAAATGCTGCGAAAATGGAGAAGCCAATCTTGCCATGTTCTTGATTATGCTTACGACCACTCACCATTAAAGTACCCATGACGAACGCTGCTGTTGCTGCGAATATGGAAAAATAAAACCTGGCATGTCGTTGATAATGCCTACAAAGACTCACCTTTAACGATATAATAAACACGCGTGTTTCGGCAGGTTAATATCGCTACGCCTTCTTGAGAACGTCAGCTTTTGAGACATTTCTGACAAATTTGTGGCATCTTATGGCGACTTGAAATTGAGGCCACTTCACAATTTCTAACGAAAAACGTATAATTATTACGGGTCGCAATTAAAAGAGAGTTGGCCGCTGCTGACCCAAATAATTTTCTAAGCTGACAGCAAGCGCATGCACTATGCCATTTTTTTAACACTAGTCTACTGAATCTCACTAATAACAGTACGCAGTGTAATACTCGCATTTGCGTGTTGCATTACGATTGAATCCGCACCGGTAAATCTACCAGCGCGAAATTGATAAATCTCGGTTTTTTTATGAACAGCATAAAAATTCACAATAGCGGTTGTCGGTTGGTGTGCATACGGTATACACACACCGTTTCCACGCACAATGTTTAAAACTTGTCTTTCACACACCAGTGAATAAGACAATAAGTACAGTATATTACGGCCAGTTTACACAGACTGATTGAAGGCTCTTGATTCTGTTCACGTATTTAGACTGATATCACGCTATACTTCACAAGACCGATTGAATCATTTCGTTCATTTCTAGTGCTCGGATCCTCTCCTGGTGTCTCGTCAACTTCCACTGTACCGTCGGGCCGGGTGCTAACGCGCCTAACCATTTGGCGGGTCCAAGGTACGGATGGTGCCGGTGTTGTTGTTGCAGTAGTGGTTGCTGTTGTTGTTGCAGCAAAAAACACACAGCGACTTGGAAATCCCTTGCACCACCCAGATCTCCGATAACGATGCACCTCAAGGTCCTCAGGCTTTTCGTCAATCTCTGCTGTACCGTCGGGCCTTTCGTGAACTCGCCTAACCATTTTACGAGTCACCGGTACGAAGGTTGCAGGTGATGTTGTCGCAGTAGTGGGCCTAGTTGTCGCATAAAAATCCTCGTGCGAATAGCCTGCGGGTGGAAATACCGGAGTCTTCGCATCCATCGCGACGGGATCGGATATGGTCCGTGCTGCAGCGTCTTCTGCTTCCTTAATATTTTCTGCAGTTACGTTGGGAAATTGTGCCGTTTCGACAGCGCACTATAAAAAAAAACGAAAATGTCAAACAGTATTGTTACTAGTAATAGCGTAACGATCTTTTGAAAAAATTCTCAAGGATAAATCAGTCTTACCATGAATATCATGTTCCCAAAGAGAGCGAAAATGACACTGTATAACAACATGGTGTTGCTCGACGACGGCTAATGCAAGCAGAGTGCCCACCGCAACGGTTGTTCAGCAGGAAAAAGGCAACGAAATTTTAAGGAAGGCAGTTGTATAGACAAAGATGCATTTCGCAAAGCGCGCTAAAGCCGATTTTATAGCGGAATCCAGCCAAACTGACAGTTTTGTAGTGTGTACGAGGAAAAAGGAATCGTACTCTGAATCTGATAAACAGAGTTCGCTGGAGAGCGTAAATGTGCTGATATAGAATTTTCTTGGAGGTACCGGACGTCGTTCGTGACCACTTCAAATGGCAAGTGGTTGCGGCTCTGACACGATTTGTGGAAATACTAAGTATGCGCGATTGTCTGCAACTGAATATTTGGCGCAAAAGGCATTTTTATTCAAATATAGAAACTTACCCAGCAATAGTATGCTAAGAGACAGCCGCTCAGCACCATGATTGTGCCTTCCACCGTTATTTCAGATATTATTATCAAAAATTATTTTAGATCGAGCCGACCGTAACAGTAGACTGATCTGTACGGTGGTAATGTACGAGTAACTTTGGTAGTAACTGAATTAAAAACAAGTGAGATGCAGAAATGAGAGCTTTGACATCCTTGACATTCCGGACGTTTTTACAATAGGGATTCGCGTAACCGTCGCCAGAGATAAATTATTCTGCGCGTTGTTCCACGCAAAAAAAAACTTTTCAAAAATGACTTCCCGTGATGATTATTGTTTTTCTACGAGTATGCACATGAGAAAAATAGATATTTGCACAGTGTATTAGGTTTTCTTTTGTCCAGATTTTCAAATTCAACAAATTCCGCATAATACTATGCCTACAATTTTTTTGCTTTCGAAGAAGTTCGGACACAGCAGAAATGTAGTGGACGAACACGAATAATAAGAGCATTCGCAAAGGGGAAGCAGCGTAGCCGTCTATTATTCTCTGAAAATTAGTGAAAGTAACGTGCTTTCTTTCTGACACGCAGAAGTTACATGAACAGTTTCCTATGAAACCCAAGTCAAAAAGTCGTACTCGTACTTGCTAAGTACACAAAAAAGCTCCGTACTAGTTCGAATGTGGTGTCACGGTTTCCGAACGAAGAAATTGGTACTAGATTAGACCCAAAGGTCTCAACAAGTTCCAAGTTCGAACCGGAAGTTGCTAAAATCACAGCATTTCTGTTTTTGAAGTACCCGTTAATTAACCACGCAAGTATAAAATAATACTGTCTTGAAGTAATTGTAGAAAAATGGAACACTTCTCTGCATATCGGATGCTCTAAGTGTAATCTTTTTTTATATTTATGCATTTTGAAAATCTGGCCATGAATAGTGCAAGGCGGCGCGCTGCGGCTAGGCGGTTCAAATTAATTGTTGGAGAAGAGCACATAAATTAAAGGAAAAGCACTTATATATAGAGAAACTTATGGATTTCAGAAAAGTTTTTAGGAAATTTGACCATAATTGTCTGTTCGTTTTTCGTCAGCTAGCCCAAAAGCACTACGTATCTTTATAACCAAAAACAAATATAAAACAACTAACATGCAAATTTAACACTATTATACAAATGTACAAATTTTAATATACAGGTAATTTTCATATTTGTATTAAGTAATTTGTTGGCTGGATTTATTCTGGAAAACAGCACTAACTATTAGTTTCCATTTTTTCCGCTATTACAGCAGCTTGAAAACTACGTGCCTGTAGAAAGAACACTGTACAAGTTGAAGTAGCCATGTACATAAAAATACTATATAAAATTCACTATACTGTAAAATAGGTAATAGTATAAAAAAGGAATTGCTATAAGATTCACATACGTATTAGTCTTTTACATATTGCGGTAGCGTGTCAGAAGCGCGCGCACTCTGCACTTACAGTTAGCAGCGCCACCTGATAATCTCTACAGCACACCGCATATGGGCACCTGACGCAAACAAAGCAGCATGTCGCTCCGCTGCGACTTCATAACACGCCGCTTTCAACGGCTTTCTTACAAGTTACAACGTCTTCAACTCTTCATCCTTTTGAGTAAGTACAATAAATGAGTTTGATTTTGTGAGGTATATTTTGTGAAGCGTATAATATTAGAAATCGCCTCAGACTTATCGTGATTTCCTAGTGTGATTTTTAACGGCGTCATTTTAAACTTGTCAGTAAACTGCATTTTGAGCTCATGATTGTAGACTTCGTGTAGTGTAGTCAGACTGCAGACACTGTTTTTGACGACAATAGAACAAGGGTGAGCGACGGCCAGCCTGGGATGGCTGCATCAGCCTCGTGTCATTTGGAGGCCAGCAAGCTTCTCTAGTTCTCCCAGCGACTAGACATTGCGCTGCTTTACATATGTGGTGATTGTTGTCATATTGTTGTGCTGCACCAAGTATGAGCAGTCAGAGGCGCAGGTACTGATGGAGCTGAAGGAGCATCTCGAAGCGTGGACGCGTGCCCACGCTATGCTGGAATACTTGCAGAACCCCGAGACCAAGTAATGTGCCCTGCAGAACCGCTATTCCTCAAGAACGTCATCAGCATCACGTGGAAGGAGCTGCCAGGGCCCCAGTGTGAAGGTGAGATTTTTTCTCGTGTTCCAGCTAATTTTAATGTTGATCACTTGGAGTTTGTATTAAAAATTGTTTCTCAAGTTTTCTCAGTTTCTAAATTTTCCACACATATTTAAGAATATTGTTTTGGATTATTTTTTCTCCTTCAATTTGCTCCACGGCAGTCTTCAGTTTATTGTAAATTTTTGCCATCGCCATCGGAATTCGAAGAAATAAAAAGGGCATAAATGGAAGCAGGAAGCTGAACGCGTCTTTATATAAGTTATTTTCGTAAGAATTTCCCATTTCCGTTTCCGTTAATTTTCTTCCACGCCAATCTTCAGTTGCATATTAGAAATATTTTAATCTAAATATTAATATGAAGTATGTGTTAGAATTTCTAAAGAAGCAAAAATGTAGAAACCGGCTGCCGGATTATTTATGGAAGAGCAAAATCATTCAAATTCTAAAATATTGTGATAAATATATTGAAATAAATACAGTGTAATAAACGCATTGAAAAACGAACGAGAAAGCATCGATGAAATCAGTGAGAAATAAATTAATATGATCAAATTATTATCAGATATCTTCGTCAAATTGTTTGTTTAATGTGTGGTTTTAATGGGGTGTATAGCGAGGAGATCTTTGACTTCTCCTCGGAGAGCATGTCGCATTCCTTAACGAAACGCCTGACGGACTCGATGCGCATCAGTTCCAGCCGGCCTTCCCGTTGTGTCTCTTCGTCCTGGACAACATCAACAAAACCTCTCTGCTGGTGACGGCCACGCTGCTCTTTCCCAGCTGGATCTCTGCTACGTCTTCGCGACCAAGCTGGTGCCCAGTCTGATCCAGAAGGTGCCGGTTTCTTGCTTTTTTCTTAATCATTTTCTTATCGGTTCGATTTTGCAGTGTCTCATCCTGCCCATGTTCATCAACGTCACACTTAAGTGCTTGACGGAGATCGCCGGCATCTTCGTCTCTCAGCATCGCTGTGCGAGGCGCCTTCAAGGACATGTTCTGCGGGACGATGGAGCATTTTAACGAGGTGATACCGCTGAATTCATTTATTTCGTTTGCTTTTTCCTTATTTTTTAGTTCATTTATTTTTTTATTCCATTTGTTTGCTAGGTTGTTTCTGATTTTCTGTGTAAATCAGTTGGCTGCATGACATTTCTGAAATAATGAAGGTGGTCAACTGAGTTATTTCGTATTTTATTTAATTTTTCGTTTTTCTAGTTTATTTTCTTTGTGAGATTTTTTTATTCATATTCTGTCATTTTTCACTTTTTAAATTTATTCCTTTTGCAGGTGAATTATTACTGTGTACACGTTACTTTTAAAATTTTAAATTTGTTTTTATAAGGAACGATATTTTTATAATCATGCCAAATTTATATTATACTAGTGGATTTCGTAGTGCACAGGCACGATGACTTTCATTTAGCGTGGATATTTTACTTTCGTTGTGTGAATTTAGCTTCTTCCGATCGTTCCATAATTTTTACCAGCTTTCGGATCTTGTTCTTGCACTTTTTCCATATTTCGTAGTCTTCTCATTTGCTGTGGATATAGTTAGCTTATACATTTTCGGTTTTGTTTTTTGAAATTTTTTTCTCGCACGGTTTTTATTTATGATTTTCAACAATAATTGTTTTGTTTAGTTCAAACAAATAATTGTGGTTCCAGCCATTTCTTGTAATCGAATTTTTATGTAGACACTTGCTGGTTGAGTGTTTGTGTAATTGACAATTTTAGTTAATTTTCTTTATTTTTTGGTGAATTAATTGCGGCATTGTGAATGGGAATGGTTTAGATCCTGCCGCTTGAGACAGACATCCGCGCAGCCTATCGGCAAGGGTACGGACGACGAGCCGAAGTTCATCCAGAACCTGGCGATGTTCCTGGCAGCCTGCAGCAAGGTGCACGGCCAGCTGATCCAGAAGACGGCGGAACTCAGCCCGCAGCTGCTGGAGACGCTGCGTTGCATGCCGCTCATCTCGATGGGATGGTGGAGGAGATCGAGATTTCAACATCTGGCTGGAGTTTTGGAACATGTTGGCCTCCGAGCTCTAACGGGAGCTCCCTCCCGGCCGCCCCCAGCTGGCCGCCGGCGCCATCTTCCTGCCCTTGCAGGTGAAGAGCGGCGGCCTGGAATCTCAGGCGCAGCACGCCCGCCGCAAGTTCTTCGAAGTGGTGCTCTCGCAGGTCAGGCGTTGAATTTTTTATGTGGAAATTACGGGTGTTGTTGAATGGATACTCGTATCCTAAAAATTATTTATAAGTATTTTTCGAATATTTACACGCACTGGTTGGACTGTAATGAATATTTTCTGTAATATTTTGTGTAAGAATCGATATTGTTCCCTTACTTCGCCAGTTCGCAGCATTGTTTCCGTTTTCTATTTGAAATTTTTAATGGTATCACACGTTGTGAAGGTTTCTGTAATAATGGTGTGCCTGCAGTGAATCTAACGCATCTGGACCCCGTAGACACGGAGCGCATCTTTGTGGAGAAGGCGAGAAGCTACACTTGCCGGCTACAGATGAACGGCGTGGAGTGGTCGTGGAAGCATGATTTTTTCGGATATTTTGCATTTCCTTGTTGTAATTTAGTATTTTATTGCATAATTATGGGTGCAGTTATGTTCTGTTACCCATAACTATTTCGCTGATGCTACCATTGCTCTGTTTTTTATGTGTTCCATTGTTATGCTTTCCTGGTTGAGGATGTTCGATGCACTGCCGCTTAAATGTTCGGAAAAGTTGCTAACAATACCTAGTTTTGTTCCTCATTTTGTTCGTGAGAACACCCAAAAAAGTGATCGAAACGGTACGGAAAACACTCCCAATTTAGTAACTACACGAGGTGCAGACTGGAAGTTCCAAGTACCAATCAGGTCTTTAAAACAGTGTCGAAACCGGTACGACTTTTTGACTTGGGAAAACGCTTGAGACACTAATTTGCTAACTGAAATCCGTGATTTTTACTTGCTTATTTTGCAAACATAATAATCACAGCGGTAGATTGTTGACGGTACTACAATCTTATTACTGTATAATGCATTAGTAAACGGGAAGTGCCTGAAATTTTGTAAAACACTTTTCGGTTATCAATAATGCTTTGACGGCTGTTAAACTGGATTAGAAAACGCGAGTTTTTTTCTTTCTGAAAGCAGTGCCTAATAGACACTGCAGTGACGCCGGGCGTCAATTCCTATGGGTTTTTCACAATACGAGGAGTAACGTAATTTCAGTCATGGAGAAACTAGGCGGACTTTAAATCTCTGTTGATCGAAAAAACCGCAAGTTTCCCGCTTTCATAAATAACAGGCAGCGCACAGTACAAAGGGCGTTCCAACAGTAACTTACCCTCTTTTGTCCTCATGTCATTTGAAGGAATATGAAACTCAATTTATTTTAGTTACATACTTATTTCTTGAGCTGTTATAAAAAACAGAAATAAGAAGGTGCAATGGAGAACTACAGAAACGAAAAATTATTTAGCTTATGCTGCTTTTGGCACCCTAATCATGGTCATTTTTCAAAATTCGTTTGTCATTTCTTTCCTTCCGAACGTTTCCAAGAGTGCTTTTTAATAGTAAACGATTATGGTGTCCTTACTAATATAAGTTCCCAAACCGCTTTGAAAAGTTTACAAATAAAATACGAATTAGTTTCCGTTCGAGATGTAATTTTTTTCAAATTTCAGCTTGCTGAAATATCGTATTTAAAGAATCTTTCCTCAATAAAACATGCATCGTTTGCCCATCACGGCACACTATAGACATAAATTAATTTCGAATCAGATGAAAAAGCACAATTTTTTCCTTTTTTTGGCATTTTATTCGTCAGCAAACTTCCAAGTTTTCTGCTTTCGGCATTTGGTCCCGAATAGGTTGCATTTTTTTCCAATAGTGTTAAGAACTGGACCTTTCAGTTATATTGATTGAAGTTGCAAGAGAATAGAATTCCGAACATGATGACATTTTTCGCATTTTAAAATACAGTATGAGGAGAGTCATGCCTCTTACAGATTCAGCAGAGGTACGTGATGGGCGGTCGATTTGCACGAGATGCGGTCTTATTTGGTTTTCTTCCAGGTTGAGCACAAACGATCATGGATACATGAGCACTCAACCATAGAAATGGATATAGAGTACTAGTACTCGCCATCGCTCCCACTGGTAATTGTGGACATTGGAATATTTGCACAGATGTTTCCAGGCAAGCGGAAGGGCCAGATATTTTCCATTGAGTGTTATCATTGCAGCAGTAGTTTAACATTCTGTCATCGTTACGTTTCCATCGAGCCGCATGATGACAACTCAGAGATCATAAAGTTTGCAAAAAGTTTGTGCGATGCCGTGCGACGATGCAGTAAATTTTGTGCGATGCCGTGCACTACTCGTACGTACTATCTGAACCGTATTTAGATGTTGGACATCACCTGTCTTATTCCTCTTCGATTGGGTTCACCAGCGTTGCGCTTCCCGGATAAACTGTTCTAAACTACCTATAGCTAAGGATGGTTGATTCGGGAAACGCAACACTGGCAAAACTAATTAAGTAATTGGTTACATACATAATCACTTATATCTTTGTCGCACGATTGCCAAGCAGGTATTGTAATTGCACCCACGGTGATTTCGCCGTTACACTGCTTGCGATCACACAGTCATCTTGCTGGTGTAATTTATTCGAGCAGATCGATCGCTTGAACAAACAGAAAAGCCAGAAATGCCATCCGGCAGTGTGAGACTGCGAGCCTCTTTGATTGAGCGGTGCGCAATGGTTCACTGTTGGATGACAGTTTTGGAACCCGAGGATTGCAGCTTCAGCGACAAGGTAAAGTACTAGCAAATTCTGATATCAATGCTCGGGCGTCACAACGTGCTAATGTGTTACTTAGTTAATTTTATGCATTGTCGGCAAATTCAGGCCATCAGATGCTTGTTAATGCTTATAATGTGCTTCGCTATGATACGATTTTAATGCATTACTTTGCCCTGGTAAATTTAGAAATAATTTTATGAGGTTTTATTTAGCTTTTTTCAGCCTCTATTTCAACATGGCTCTAAGGACGACCATTTCCTTTTTTTCCGCAGCGAAATCGTCCCATAATCGTGATTAAGTATTACATAGATGCGTCATTTAACTGGCAAATAGACACCAAAATAACAACAATTACAAGCGCCGGACTTAGCGAATGACAGGCAAAATTTCAACTTTAAAAAAGTCAGTCTTCGTTTTACGTTAATTACGTTAGCACTATTAACTATTAAGTGTTATTATATTGTGTGCTATAGTGTTACCAATGTAATTTTTAATACCGGCATTATCTGTAGACTGTATATGAGTACATTATGGTCATATGGTGTATTAGGCAAAGGCGTAACCTCAAGCTAAGTACACTACATAAAATCTACTCGTACCGGATATAATGTGCGGTAGATTTTGAACATTAACAGGTCTGGAAATGAACATTGACAGGTCTGGAAATTGACGGCACATTATTCCATCGACAAGCACAGTATATACTATACGGTATTTTGTGATTGTCTTCCTGCGCCACCGGCTTCCATTACAGATCCTGAATTTGGCTGTCAGTTGTTCAGTTTATCCTCAGAGAGCTATAGTTAGACAAACCTATACGGAACACTGCTACTGCAGTTAAAAGTTGTAATCTGAGCGCAACAAAACCTTTTTTTTCAATTGCTGACAGAGATAATATTGCGTAGAAAGATATACATTGTACGCATTACACTACCGTGGTACTTGTTACATAATTCCGTAAACAAAGTAATCGTTACAAGAATAACCAAAGACACAAGACAAACACACCGCTTTCATCCGGTTCGCGTAAATACTTCACTGCACACTATAGTGCGCAAAGTTATTCTCAAATAATAGGAACAACACAATACTCGTAGAGACCTTCAAGTGGCCACCTATGTTAAGTCAATGGGCGACATACCTTCAAGTGGCCAGGCATCAGTTATTTGGCCCCAGAATCGATTTTCTTCCCGTTTTTTGGTACAGTATGTTCAGCTCAACTTGCTCTTTACAGAGTACTTGAAAATTTCCAAATCGGTTGAACCGTTTTTTAGTTATTTACGTTGTAAAAAACCAGTGACGAAACGCTTAAGCCACGCCACGAGAGCTACAACACTACGCCAGCTTATTTCACTTATCAACCACACATGTGCGGGTGCAGCAAGCGCACGCTTTATATGAGCGGATATGAGCACAGAGGCAACCGGGATCAAACTAAATCTTAAAAAAGTCATTAAAATTTACAAAAAAACAGAAATCAAAACAATAGAAATCGCAGATTAGTGAGCATGCGATAAATCAGGTTAGTGGAAATAAAAATTTATAGGATAATTAAGTATACGAGTACTTCTACCGGTTAGCAGGGATCGGTGAACTGATTTGTGGAAAACGACGAGTACAAGTATGGAAAGGGTTTTTAATCATTGTTGTCGTACTGCTAACCGGTGTCTATTAACCTGTGAATATTTATTTTCACTAACCTGTGATTTTTCACATGCTCCCTAAGTTGTGATTTTTATTGATTTGATTTCTGTTTTTTTTGAAAACTTTAATGACTTTTTTAAGACTTAGTTTGATGCCGGTTGCCTCTGTGCTCATGTCCGCTCATATAAAGCGTGCGCTTGCTGCACCCGCACATGTGTGGTTGATAAGTGAAATAAGCTGGCGTAGTGTTGTAGCTCTCGTGGCGTGGCTTAAGCGTTTCGTCACTGGTTTTTTACAACGTAAATAACTAAAAAACGGTTCAACCGATTTGGAAATTTTCAAGTACTCTGTAAAGAGCAAGTTGAGCTGAACATGCTGTACCAAAAAACGGGAAGAAAATCGGTTCTGGGGCCAAATAACTGATGCCTGGCCACTTGAAGGTATGTCGCCCATTGACTTAACATAGGTGGCCACTTGAAGGTCTCTACGAGTAGGAAGAGAATGTACTGGAAAGGGGGAAGGCTTGCTCCACTAGAAAAAATATAATTGCCGCTTTCGGTTGTGACACCCCTACCGAACACCGTGACAGTTCCATGTTTTGACGCAGTTTGTCTCCGGAAGAGGAGATGCAGTGATAGTTATGGTGTAGCATGGTGAGCTCGCGGATGCCACTTCCAAGATCTCTTGGCTCCGCAGTGTTATGCACGTAGACAGAACGAAGCTTCCAAACGTTCCGATAACGTAATCTTGCTCCGACGGACTCGCATCAATTTGGATGACCGTTTCCGACACACAGATTGTGGAATATCGTGCAGTCCTCACCGTGATCGTTGTGGTCAGACAGGGCGCTGCAGGACACGGCGAGCTAGGCGAACAGGAGGCTTGGGGAAACTGGGTGCCGTGTCCCCTCGAACATGTCCGGATGGTTTCCGTGAGAACGGAGGTGGTGACGCGGCACACGGACTGCACTGTCGCTCGGCTGGGACTGATGCCCTCATGTTGACCTTTCCAGCCGACTGGACCGTAGCCGGCGCCCGGGTTTTCATCGTACGGCAGAATGTTGGGGACCTTCTGTGGAATCTTTGGTAGATTCCAGAGAAACTGGCTGTTCTGGTTGTAAGTGGGCGCGGGGCGAGCGCCGCCCAAATGCAGACTCGGTTGGATATAGTACGCATCCGTGTCGCCGCGGTATGCCTCTACCATCACCATACCCTAAAAAAGAATTACTATTATTGTCTAATTTACGCTCAAATTAAACCACCATTACCTGAACCTATAAGTACACATTACGGTTATAATTATATTATTTTAGAAATCAAATAAATTGGTAAAGTATGCGATTAACTGGTCATCATGAACTACTGTACGTGATTAATTCTGGTTTACTTCACCGGTAAAAGAAAAAACCTGCGGAAATACACCATACTTGTGAGACGAGTGTTCTTGCGCTCGGGACCAATTTATTTCGCGTTATAGTGCTTCTTGCGGTTTCCTAGCATAAGCGAAGCCTGCGTTGGCCAGTTGACGCAAATTCTTACCAGCAGTGCTAAAAGACAGGCAATTCCAAGGCGTCCAGCGAAATCCATGGCGAGTTACGTGGTACTGTAAAACTACTAGGTGCGTTTCGATTTATTCCGTCAAAAGAAAATATGCCGCAGTTCACACTGATACGGTAATTAACTGTGATTACCAGCGGTGCATGCTTTGTACAGTTGTACCATTCGGAAGAATCGTGGCGCTCGTAATAAAAGCGTACTCGTACCAAAGGATCTTGTACCAAAGGATCTTGTACCGCTGACCACCTTAGAGAGACAGTTGGCATCGGCATTTCATCCTATTTCTGCACGTTCAAAGCAGTTTTTGCGTGACCGATGGACAAACAAGATAAGCGTCAGCTGCCGAATGGGAACGCCGTGCGCCCGCTCAACCCATCGAACAGTGTTTTGAAACCGGCTGGCGTATCGCCGCACATGTGCCTGTAATCGTGAGTAAGCTATCCTTTAGCACAGATATAGAGCAACGAACTACAATGGATGCCCAGAAACGTTTTAACAGAGATTATTTTTTTGGAATGTGGTCGAATCCGCCCTGCCGATGCGAAAAGTTTCCAATGCGTACTTTGATAATCAAGAACTCCAAGAATAACATGCGGCACAGAAATGAATACTTCTACGCTTTTTGCGTTCCGGACATTCGCGTACCAGTCACCAAACACGCCGTATTTTCGGCGTTTCTCCATACGACACAACTTTCCAGAATTACTTATATCGTAATTATTGTCTTTATGAAAGCCTGCACACCAGTTCGTAAACAGTTATCGAGTTTTTTAATGTCGAACAGCGCCGATATTACCGTATCTCTGGTGTCCGGTACGGAGATCCATATTGTGAAAGTATCCAGAATGTCAAACACGTCGAAGTACTGATGATTGCAAGAAACTTTATCTTAGCGAGTCACCGGCCTGAAATTCCTGCTGCTGCTAGATTTTCAGTTTAATATTTTCATCTTATATAAATCTCGCGTGTCCTCTGGCTGTTTTTTGTGTACCTTATTCCATAATAAATCAATATGCTGTTAAACTTGGCGAGAATTGCGTAAAAGAAACCCGAAGTTACACAGTTACACGTTATAATTTCCATAAAAACGCTCAAAACGCTATTTTATTAGGTAAAATCCAAGACATTTGCTTGCTTATTATGCAAAACAATAATAGCCGTAACCTGTAAATTATTGAGGGCATTGCAATGCAGCAACTGTATACCTAATTAAACGTGCGTTAAGTATTTATTATGCGTTTAGTATTTGTACATACTATACTTGATCACGTCGAACTACTTGCATTAATTTGTTAGATTTTCACTTTCGTGTACGTCTTGTACCAACGATATGAGGCGCGTCAAATAGAAACCTACATAATCGCTACACAGCAAATTTTTCAGTAGACCGTGATACATGACCGGGGGGTGTGGGTGGGCCAAAACGGCTTTAACACGCTATCCTATAGAGAAAATTGTGCTCTACAACTTATATGGTCTGGGGGTAGACAGCGTAGTAAAGCTGAACTGACTGTGGCTGAAAATCTGAAAGCACCTATTGTTCCAGCATTGCCAGCCGTATGTAGATACACTTATCACATCAAAATTTCTTTCGTTTTTGTGCGAGTTTTGTTTTGCATTTTTATTGCTCATTAAGATTCTGAGTATAATTTTTTTATGTCTTCCACGCGAATTTAATAGGATTGCAATTATGGGCAGACAGATGTGCGCACTGGGATTGTTTGGACGTAGAGCTCTGTGTGGGTCTTCGATGCAAATCCAAGACATATATATTATATGTCTTGGATTCCTCTTTCATTTTCAGCACTTGCAGGATTATTTTTGCCAGCGTTGCATTTATCTGATCTGTGGTTCTAAACCACATAATCAGTTTTTATCTTTGTCGCACGATTACACAAGCCGGTAACCGTACCAACCGTAATTTTGCCGTCACACTGTTAAAGCGATCATGCATGCATCTTATTGGTGTGATTTATTCGCGATCGCTTGAACAAACAGGCAAGTCACGAAATGACATCCCGCAACGCGAGGCTGTGAGACCTTTTGACTGAGGGGCCCGTAGTCTTTCGTTATCGGATGGCAGTGATGCAACCCACGCATTGCACCTTAAACGGTGAGAGCGTGCTGACAGGTAGTAAGCGCCGTTATTGCTAAGAAATTTTGCAAGAGCATAACACTCCAGCTTAATACAGTCCACGAGTAGGTGCGCACCAGGTTTCTTAGTGCTTGTCTTATCAGCGGACCCTAATCAGTTTATCATGATACCACAACAATAGCACGCGTTCTGCGCTCAACATAACAGTAGTTCCCGTAATTTTCCATGACATGTTCGTGATTCAGGCTTGTATAAGTATGAGCATTGCCAAACATGTTATATTTTCAGAACGAGCGATTGCAAAAATGCAAGTACGTGACCGTAAATGTGGGCAGTTGGTTGCACATGCAAAGTGTTTTATTTGCTCATGATAGCGTTATCGCTTATCTGATAATCAGTCGCTTTCTTGGTTTACAACACTGCGTAGAAGTACCAAGTTAGAGAGCCCGCTGTAGGCCTTCGCATATAGCTGCGATACCCGGTAGTTGTCGTATGCCAACGACTCTCAGTCTGCGTGGTCTAACAAAGTCCGCTTGTTGATTTGATTATTATTGTTTTTGAGAATTCTCGATGGGTAATAAACCTCACAAAGCAGCCGAGGCAAAGGAGAATGTGCCCACCAGGACAAAGGAGGAGAGTAAGAATGGAGTAGATAGGAGGGACAAGGAAGGAAATGGATGGACAAAGGAGAATGGAGATGTAGAGACAATAGAGGAGATTGGCAGTATGATTGAGTATCGCTATGAAAACGTGGACTGTATCGGCAGAGGACCATATGGCATGGTTTATAGAGCCAAAATCATTTACGACGGCACTCGTACGGGCCCCAAATTTGTAGCCGTCAAATTAGTACATATTGGGATCCATTCCCCGAACGCTACGGATCCGGATACCTGGATGACTGCCGTGAAAAGACTGAGAGTTCTTACGAAACTGGCGCACGAAAATCTTGTAGTTTATCACAAGGTTTCCATTTTCAAAGCGCTCGGCGGAACGGCCGTTGAACTGGCAATGGAATACCATAACGGTGACACGGACTATCAGCACCTTTTGCTGTGATTTTATTAAAATTGTCGTTTTAGGTGATCTGACTTCCTTTTTGACGGGGACCAGGAAGCACCTCTTGAACAGCTGGGGAAATGTGTTTCGGTTCGCAATAGATATTACCAGGGGAGTGGAGTTCTTGCATCGGAATGGCATAACTCACGGGAATTTGAAGCCTGAAAATGTACTGCTAAGCATTTCGCAAAGTGGTAGCGAAAAGCTGGTCATCGGTGATTCAGACGATCTACTGCAAATGGTGCACAGCACCAATTCCTCTCGGTGCAATCTCCGGGTGCACGGCACAACGCGCTACATGTCACCCGAAATGCTACGAAAGTACTTCCAATGGGATGAACAGCCTCCAGGACGGGAAACGGATGTGTGGAGTTTGGGTTGCATAATTCTGGAGATAGCTGAAACGATGAAGCGTGAACCGACCAAGCGACTGGTTATAAACGGGGTCATTAAAGATGTCACAAGCGGTCTGGACAATTCTATGTTCGCATTCCTGATTATCGAGGGATACGTTCCGTTTGTGAGCGGGAACATCACCCAGAACTTGGCGGGCATCATCCGGCAGTGTTTGGATAGAAATAGTGAAAAGCGCTTGTCTGCTGTGAAAATACTGCATTGGCTGCAGACAAAAGAAGACTATTACTTCTAGCGTCATCGAAAGGTAATTTTTCATCCATAAGGATTCTCGCGAATGCTTGATATTCGATCCTTCAATTAGCCCGGTAAACGTGAAGGGCTAGAAGGCACATAAGGTACAGAAGGCTATTCTAAGAACGTCATCGGGTTACTTCCCTACAAGGCAGACAGACGGACAGAAATTTTTCATATTTTGGCTGAATAAGAAGACCGTTGCTTCGATCCGGTCAGAAATAATTCAAACGCTTACCTTAATTAATTGTGCTCCGACTAGTAATTAGCGATATGGGTGGCAGTGCGGTTACTTTAACGAACTCAGTATAATTACAAACGCTTTGAGAGTATTTTCAACGTTGAAACTTGCAGAAACACACGTGGAACCTGGAGACGCGAACGGCTTGCCGCTTGCGGAAGCAGAATCTTCTGCTGACGCAGAACTGCCATCTCCAAGCAGCTTTGCAAATGATGGAGATGAAGCTTCTGTCCGCGAAGGAGGCACGCTGTTCGTGGACGTTGAACCTGGCATCGATGCAAGCAACAGTGCAAATCTAGAGCAGGCATCGAAGAATTCGAGCAACAACATCTTTCCAACAGTTGAACTGACATAAGGCTGCTATTTTTGCGATGACGAAAGCAAAGACGATTTTTTTGTTTACTGGTCAACATGAGATCTCGAAACCCGTTCAAGATAGGCACAGCCCTGAACTGCGATGGGGTCAGCTATATTTCGGTCAACCGCTTTTATTAACAGATGGTGGTCCATCTGGAGTTTTAATGATGTACACATTACGTTTATGTATACTGAAAACTTAATACGCAAGTGTTTAAATTTCCCTATTTCGAATGTTCCATGTGTTTTTGGGAACAAAAACGATTGACCGAAACGAATAACGAACAGTTGTAATTGTCGCCTGCCAGAAAGCGCACAAGTCGCAACTTCCAGTTGCATGTGTTGATGGCTTATCGCAGATTTATACAGTATACTTCCACTCCCAATCGAACTCTAAGTCTTATACAGTTTGACGGTATCATCCCTCCAAATTACGGGACATAACTCGCAGAATATGTTTAATTTCGTAATAACTAAAACAAATGCCGCCATCATCCGTGGCGAAAACAGCATAACAGCATCATGAACAGCATAAAACTGCCCGATAACCGTTGGTACCGGGATACACACAACCTTTCCAAACGCATAATGGTTAAAGGTTGTCGTTCATACACAAGTGAATAAGAATATTTACGGCCAGTTCACTCAGGTTGCTGGTTGATTTTTGATTCACACAAGTGGCCTTAATCATACTAGACTTCAAGGTACGTAGACTTTTTCGGTTGTTTCACCTCTAGTGCTCGGATTGTCCTCTGGTGTCTCGTCGAATTCTGCTTCACCGTGGGGCCCGGTGAGAACTCGTCTAACCATTTTATAGGTCCAAGGTATCACCGGTGCTGGTGTTGTTGGTTCAGTATAAAACCTACATCCAAACATTCGAAAGCAGAAAAAAGATCTCCGATAGCGATGCACGTCAAGCTCCTCTGGTTTCTCGTCCATTTCTGATGTACCGTCGGGCCTTTCGTGAACTCGCCTAACCACAGTTACGGACGTTGTTGGTACTGTGTTTGCAGTAGTGGGCCTAGTGGTCGCAGAAAAATCCTCGCGCGAATAATCAGCGGGTGGAAATACCGGAGTCATTGCAGCCATTGCGCCAGGATCGGGCGTGATGTGTGCTGCAGCAGCTTGTGCTTCCTTATTATTTTCTGCAGTGATGATGGGAATTTCTGCCGGTTCGATAGTGCACTATAAAAAATCTAAATGTTCAAACAGTATTGCTGTTAATTACAATACGTATCGATCTTTCAAATGGTTTCTCAAGATTAAGTTGCGCTTACCATGAATACCATGCTCCCATAAAAAGCTGTAATGACACTGTGTAACAACATGGTGTTGTTCAACGACGGCTGATGCAAGGAGAGTCTTCTGCGTAGCGGTTGTTCAGCCGGAGAGAAGAAAACGAAAATTCAAGTAACTGTACTGACAAAAATTCACTTCTCTAGAGTGTAATAAAGCCGTTTTTATAACAGAATTCAGCAGACAAGTGCCAGTTTTGAAGTGTGTACAAGGAAAAAGGAATGGTTCTCTAAATGTGATTAGCAGAATTCGCTGAAGAGCGTAAATGTGCTGATACAGACTTTTCTTAGAGGCACCGGACGTCGTTCGTGACCACTTCACCTGACGTCCTGACAAGTGGTTTAGGTTCTGACACAATGCGTGTGAGTATGCGAGATGGCTGGCATTAGAATAATTATTATTTAGCGTTAGATTATTTAGAGCACCTTTGTTGGATTATAGAGACTGGCCCAGCATGCTAATTGTGACGCTACTAAAAATATTATGAAAAACTGCTTTGATCGAGCCGACCATAACAACGGTTTAAAATGTTTTTAAAAGTCGAATAATATGTTGTTTGGCAGCAAAGTGTTTTTATGGATAATAAATATCGAGTAGTTTTTTTAATTTATTTGAAGGATATCGTAGATGCAGAACTCAGTAGGGATGATCACGAAAAACCGTATCTTTGCGAGTGACCGGTATGGAATCACTGCTGTCGGTAGATTTCTAACCGGCTTATTTGCAAGTGGGCTTACATACATATGTCGAACTCGTATATGGTCAAGCTGTTTTTTGTATAGCCGTGGCAGTACTATACTATTAAGGCAGCAAAGCGAATTCGATTGCGCAATACTAAGGCAAGCCGTTGTGTGTACGCCATATATTTCTAATTGTGGTATGGTAAATGTATTTCGCTTTATCGTGCAACAAAATCATCGTGGTGTAGTTCAAAAGAAAGCCCAAAAAATTCTACGTTTTCTGGTGCAAATGTTTTCAGTAAAAAAGGCCAACTGAGGTTTTAAAAACGTTTTAAAAGCAAATCGAGTTGAAGTCCATACATACAAAGTCAATGCAACGGTCGGTCCAGACCGCACGACCGTTGTAAGCAAACTGCATACACTTCGGAACCTTTCTCAAACCTCCAGGCTCCAATCAGCCCAAACTCCACGCAAACTATACATCAGAAATCTTAAACTTTTTTTCTGTCTCTTCTAAGCTGTTGGTCACTCGTTTTGAACTTGAACAAACCTTAAAGCGCTTATCATAGCAACCTATGGAGCATACGAGCCGTAAAGCATAGCGCTGGTGGATGGCTTGCCTTATCGTGACGTAGCACCGGAAGTAGGCGTGTCGCTTTTTTGCCTTAATAGTATAGTACTGCCATGGTATAGCCTATTCCGCAGTAAAATTAACATGCTTTGAATTTAGCGGAATGTTTTTTCAGTTGCTGGAGACCCGTGTCCACAGTTCAGTAAAGCGATGAATTAACGCCTTGATATTTGACGGATGTACAGTCTGTATGTTGACTGTAACAATACGCAAGTCAATAAATAACTGTAATGATAATGATCAATAAATGACTGTAACTGGTTAAGTACCCCCCAAAACCGGCAAACGACGCAAACCGCCATGAAATTATGGAAAAGAAAACACAAACTCTCCGAACTCGTAATACGTAGTTCACAGGAAGGTAAATACTGCGCGTCAAAAATAAAATTAATTCGCATTAATCGCGATTCCAACTGTCAGCTGATTTCAAAGAAATTCAGACTCAGCAAAACTGTACGAGTATTAAGTAGTCGTAGCGGACGAACTTGATAAATAAGCACATTTGCAATGTAGAGGAGCAGCGTAGAACAGCGGAGCAGCAGGAGGTTTATGGGATACCTGCTACCGAGATGACACTATTAAACTATAAAAGCGTAGCCGCCCAGCGTTCGTCGAAAATTAATGAAAGTGTTATTGTTCTGACACGCAGCGGTTAAATTTAGAGTTGTCTTCCCACCTGGATTTTGGAAGTGACGGGACTGGTGGGATTGGTGGAACGGAAGGGCAAACTCGTTTTGCTTAATTACGGTTGCGGTGCTTTACATTATTCTGCGTACGCGTAATAAATGCGCATCGTAATTTAATGAACACGGTTGTCTCAAGACTCACAACTGAAGGCGGACTTTAGAAGACGAGTTTGTGCGTGCTTAGGTTATGCGGCAAAGCCGAAACCAAGTAAATTTTGCCTCTCAAACACATATTTCTGAGCAGCCTATCACTTCCCAATTCCATCATTCATCCCATTACATTATCGCGGCCACAGTTCTTCGGCACGATGGGACTGGGACATGAAATCAATGTGATTGGGATCGCGTGTTATGACGTTATAACAACTCTAACCACATAACAGTTTCATATTATGGAAACACTTGAAACACTAATTTCTCAGCCGAAATCTACGATTTTTGATTGCTTATTCTGCAAAAAGAACAATCCTAGCGGTGTATTGTTGACAATGTTGAAGTCTCATTATTGTATAGTACGTTAATAAATGGAAAGCATTTGAAAATTTGTAAATGGTTTTTATTTGCCATTAGTCGTTATTGCCTGTTGACGCCTGTCACTGGCTAAATAAACTGAAGGGATTATAGAAGCTCTACTTTTCTCCTTTGTAAAAAGGAGTGCCAATAGCTTTTCACAATAGGGTAAATAACGATTTGCAGTAATGAGAATCATGGCGGATTTTTAATCACTATGGAACCGCAAAAAAATAAAATTTGTTGGTTTTTGAGCTAATTTTCCGGTAGATCGCTATCAGCAGCTGTTGTTACAAAAGGGAACGTTTCAGCAAATTGCCGTTTTGCGGTTGAACTGCGCAACGTTGACGGCTGTTGTGTACAGGAAACCGGCACCGTACCTGTCAACATGTTTGCGGTTGATACAAAACGTCAGCCTAAAGTATTATACACTATACGCTGATCGATGATACCCATGTACGAGAATAGTCGTCTGTTCTTGGGCACAGCGCGATATTGATTACTACCGTACATCGGCATCACAGAGCTTCCGCTCGCGTAATGTACGCTGGGTTACGGGATTATTCATATAGCTCACACAAATTTAGCAGCGCAGTAGCACTGTATTATATATTTGGTTTAAGCTCAACCTGGTTCTTTCCAGGTTGAGCTTGAACGCGGCGTGGATACATGAGCACTCAAGCGTAGAATTGGGTATACCGTACCCAACATCGCATACACTGGTAATGATGGGATATTTGCACTGATGTTGCTTGGCGAGCGGATATGCCCGCAGAAAGAGGATCAACAGAAAATAGTGTCGATAGGATTGTGATACCTAATCCCCGCACTGAGGGCATATATCATTCTGTAGCTGAGGGACTGCTTACTTGCATTTCCCACTTTTCCGTGTGCGGTCTGTTGCTGTTGGGCGTCCGTTTCTTCATTATGTACTCGTACTGTCATGCAGTATTCTTGGTGGGAAAGAGATGGTAGAGAAATGTTCAGCTACTGCGCCGTATCTAAACATTTCTTGGCCCTGACGTTCCCATTGCCCGATAACACTGCTTGATGGATTAATGAATGTTTATATGATCAGCGCGCGATGATTAGTTCCCCATACTTACCGGAAACAGTCCCATGTTGGTTGCGCAACCAGTGATCTGTAAATTTACACCAATAATTGCGCATGAACAAGCATTTGTCACTTGGTTAACCTACGCATCATTAATTACTGTTCATTTGATTCAAATGATTACGAAACGCTCATAGTTTCATACGGACGTGTACACGTGGTTCGACCGACGCACTCGTCCTGACAAACATGGACAGAACAGTCAACTGGTTCTACTCATCTTCTTTCAGCACGAAGTTGGTTGTGCTTATGGCCGTTATTTTCCGCATAATCTACGCCGCAGATACCAAGAAAGATTTGTCGAACATGACCGGCAAAAGCCGCTCTAATACCGAAGGCGTGTGTGATCCTACTGAGAGATACTCTGTAGTACAGTTCGGCATTGATTTTGTGCGAAGCCTTCGCATTGAACCTGCTTACGCTTAAGCAGGTAACTGCAACGACCGTAATTTTACCGTTGAACTGTTAAAGCAATTATGCATTCATCTTGTGTAATTTATCCAAGCAGATCGATCGCTTGAACAAACAGACAAGCTAGCAAATGCCATCCGACAACGCGATACTGCAAGCCTTTTTGACTGAGCGGGTTGCAATCTCTCGCTGCCGAATGACAGTAACTGTTATGGTACCCGCGGATTGCAGTTAATGCACGACTGCTCAATGAGCGAATGGAACGATGCGGATGTGGAAGTGGGTGGACTGTTGCGGCACACCCACGCAAATGACATACAGGAAACCGTTCCACCACGTTTGATCGTGCATTTCGATTATCCGACCGAACAGACGGTGTAATTTACTGCAAAGCATTCGACTGCTACAGCAGTCCGACAGATGAGGGACGACAAGGCTGGATAAACAGCGCGCTTTATATTTGACAGACTACCCGGACACTTAGAGTCTGCTACTCGCCTGTCCGGATATTTTATGGTTTCCGGCTGGAAGATTTAACAATTTTGCGGTGGAGATAACGCTACTATAAACTGCTACCTTGCGTCCAAATTCGTTGACCGGCATGCAAGTTGCAGGGCTTCGGAACGGATCATCTAGCTTGGGCGACCGGTTTCTGCATTCATTTTTATCGTACTATCTTTCCAACCGCATGCTGCGCAAGTAATCAGTTTCCAGGCCAAATTTCAGGTGTTCAAATATCTGGCGGTAGAATGTGATTGTACATACCAGCATATTGTTGCATACGAGTCGTTGTGGCCAAGCTTACTAGTGCTTTTTTTTTTTACGTTTGGTACCATAAAAATATGAAATTGTCTTTAAACTCGTTACAGTGAAACTCCTTTTAACATTCACCTTCGTATAACATTCATCCCTTTACTGCATGCGCGAGGCTGGGAACGGATTGTCCGGTAGGCTATAACACAGGGGCAGTTCTCTCAGCACTTGACGACAACAACATTCAGCACTTGACAGCTATAACATACACCCTTTATGGAACCGATAACAGTTTTACCGGCTTATTCACCCCCAACATAACATACAGCTGGCCTGACCAGCAGAGTTTTTACGGTATTTTTTCAAATAAAGTTCCGGCTTCTCTTTTCAGCCTGGTCAGTACCGAATCTTTCGGCTTCAAGCATGTAAAACTGCATACAAATCAACGCTCACAATGTATAATTTGTGTTATATGGTGTTATGTAGAATTTTCTTAACCATGAACTAGTAAAAAGAGGCTGCGGTTTTACGGTTTAGCGATTTATGGCTGTCTTGGTACCGTGCTTGTTCCTATGGACAAATTACAATCATGGCTTACCCCCGGGGACCCTATCCCTAAGGACAGCGTCCTTAGGGGCAGTTCCCCTCTTTAACATACACCCCTCTGTAACATTCGCGCAGGCAAGAACGGAGGGTGTATGTTGTAGAGAAGTTTCACTGAATATAGTTGGTGCAATTGGTTTCACATTACCTGTTTAGCAGCCGAAATCGGCGTAAACCGGCCCCGGATGCTAAAAAAATGCAGCTTGTTTTCGTATTCCAGAGCAAAGGTTTTCGTATTCCAAGGCGTGTATCTGTACGCAAAGCAAATACAAAGCGGTAACAATTCGCGAGACAAAGATTTCTGGAAATGTGGTTTTGTAAATAATAGGACTGGCTACGAACTACACCATTAACGTCTGGTTGTAGTACTGGGACGAAACTCCGAGATCGCCCGATTGTGGTTTAACTGTTGCGCTGGAGCTGGTCTCATAGCCATACGGTAATAAATATTAAACTGATATGCACCGCAACGACCCACGAACTGGAAAATACTTTCGAAATAATAATTATGTAACCATACCCGATGGCGCCAAAAAGCTCACGCGCTAAGTCAAAACTCATCGCGCGTAGAGATGACGGTAAATAAATTAGTACACAGTGTAACGCACGCGTACGTAAGGACCACCTCATTTTGCCGCATGGGTACCAGTGACGTACCACTAACTTATGGCGTTGACCTTAATTCCTGTATTATTTTCACCATTTTTGGACAGTATGCCGTGCAATTTGCATCGATTGAGTCGTGGCGTTGCTACCAATTGCGGGACACGAGGAAATACATGCAGTTAGGCACTTTAACGATTTGATAGTCCACGTTTTTGTTGTTATGAAAGCCCTCCTGAGATTACCGTTTCATATTTATTATGATTAAGTATTTGTACTTATTATACTTGATCACCCGAAGTCATATACGTGTTTGTACCCGCACCCGGACAATTGGGAGTGTGACATTTCGCCGCACTCAAACTCGACGCGCGACTTTTCGCCGCGAAGACATTTCGCCGCCGAACATTCGGACGCTGAGACACTTCGGTTTGGAACATTATGCTTTGAGACATTAATTTTTACCTTTGCGACATTTCAACGCAAGACGTCTGGTCGCGGACAATTCGTCTTGGGACATTCGAACGATGCGACTTGTTGCCGCAACGTAATTCACCGCGCTTAATTCTCACTAATTTTTCAGGTTTTTTTCAAGCTTGTTCTAAGTTTTCTTAGGCTTTCTTGGTCTTTCTTATACTTTCATTGGTCTTCTTATGCTTTTTTAGATTTACTTAAATTTCTTGGGTCTCTTAGGTTTTCTAGGTTTCTTAGGTTTCTTAGGTTTCGTAGGGTTCTTAGGTTCCGTAGGTTTCTTAAGCTTCTTAGGTTTCGTAGGTTTCGTAGTTTTCGTAAGTTTCTTAAGTTTCTTAGGTTTCTTTGGTTTCTTAGGTTTGGTTTCTTAAGCTTCTTAGGTTTCGTAAGTTTCTTAGGTTTCGTAGGTTTCGTAGGTTTGTAAGTTTCTTAGGTTTATTGGGCTTCTTAGGTTTTTTAGGTTTCTTAGGTTTCCTAGGTTTCTCACGTTGTTCGCTTGATTTTTTTTTATTTTTCCGTATTCTGACTTTTGGGGTTAGCTTAGTAAATTATTTATCGGATAGTCGAAATGTCGCTTCGTCGAGATATCCTTGCGGCGAGATTTCCTTGCGTCGAAACGGCCATGCGACGGAAAGTCTCGCGGCGTAAAGTCCTACCGACGAAATGTCCTGCGACGAAACGTCGCGAGGCGAATTGGCCTTGCGGCGAAATGTCTGCGACCGAAAGTCCTGCGGCTAGTTGTCCGCGGCGAAATGTCGCAGTGCCGTTTGTACCGACGATATATCTGTACGCTATAGCCACGCGATTACATTTGAAGCTGCACAGTAAATCCATCAGCGCGAAACTGATAAATTTCAGGTTGTTTACTCGTATGAACGAAACTGATAAATTTCAGGTTGTTTACTCGTATGAACGGCATAAGAATTGACGATAACGGTTGGTTAACATGTGTAGCCGGCAAGAATGTTGACGTGTTCACGGTTCACGCTGTGAGCATTTTTGACGGGCGAAAATGCTCACGAATGATATCATGCAGTCGGAATGCAGATTTTTATTGCAGAGCGACTGAAACACCATATTTCGAAACGGATTGTAAATATGAGTTTCCGCTGATAAAAATACATTTTCGCTAAAAAAAGCAGTCGTGGTAAATGTCCGGAATGGAATTTAGTGCGCGCACATCTGCTGACATTTGATCCTTTCGCCCAAGGCGAAACAGTGTCTTGCACTGCTTTTAGTCAGGCTTTACCCAGCAATGCCTACATTAGGTCAATAACCAGGTCCATAACATTTTGCCGTTTAAAAAAATTAAAAAATGTCAGTAAAAAGTTTGAGGAAGAACGACGAAACAGGTTTTCATTCAAAATCATCCCTTTACATATTTATCACTCGCAATAAAATCACCAGAAGACAAAGTAAAATTCTATTTTCAGCACACAACTAGCCGTTTAAATTAAGTTTTTTTATATGGTAATTTACATTTCCTTTATTTTAGCAAGCGGATGTTGCGCCCACGGAGGGTTTCGAGAGACCAGTATCTAAATGTCATTTTGGTTGTAGAATAGTTTCATCACATCATTTGGTTGCAAAATAGTTTTGCGACAGTGCAGGTAACCCGTATACCGGCCATTTTTATTCATACAGTGTACTAGTTTCTTTCTGTTCTTCATGTTCTTCTGTACCTACTTCGAATACTGTCTTATATGGGCTCCCCTTATATTACTCTCCCTTATCTGGCCTCCCGGCTAGTTACCAATACCCGTCAAATTATATTCATCGGATTTGTAGCAGAACCCTTTTCTACTTCTCTCAACCGGATTTACCAGTGAGCACACCAAAGAATTCCGAAATTTCACATCCGAATTATATTTATATAAGTATATTATTTATATATTTTTCTTTAATTTCAACCGAATTCGCCAATGAACAAACTGAAAAATGCCGAAATTTCATATCAGATTATTTTTTTTATTATCAAATAAGTATTTTAAACAAACCAAAATTTTCAGTCAGTCATAACACTGATAACAGCTGCGAAAGTGTGAGTAATAACGTAACCGCCCATGTAGAGGGTTGCTCATATTGCTCGGGAGCCCGGATAAGGGAGAGTAATATAAGGGGAGCCCATATAAGGCAGTAATCGAAGTATAAATAACGCGGTGCGCTCTAATCTCTGCAGTGTGCACTTTTGTACAACACAGAAAACAGATGTTACTTGCATTTACCTTGGATAACCGACGAATAAGGTACATATTTTCTGATAATATATGACTGTATTGTGTAAAGATTGCCCACTTTTGTATTTTGTACATCATATTATTTTGTGAGTATGGCCGCCGGGCAGGGATGCTCATATTGCAAGATCTACGCGGTAATCGGATACCGCTAACATTTTCCGCTCTCATAAGCAGATCAGACGCACTTTTACTCTTCATGGCCACATGCAGGCGGTTCATATTACACTCGTGAACATGGGAGCCGGGCAGGGATCTTCACGTTTGTGAGCACGCGTGCCGGGCCGGGATGTTCACGGCTCCACGCTTATTATTGTACCTATTACCGTACTTATTACTCTAGTGTACGGTAATAGCAGAGTCGTAATTAGCAAGGCGCAGCTGCTTCGTTGCAGTGAATTTTGCTAGATGACTGTAGCGCCCCCATATCACGTCGTAGGAACATGCAGCAGTGGCCACTGGCTAGCCCGCATAGACATGTGTGGCACAATACATTATGGTGCAACCGGCATTCGCAACATGAATTGTATTGTACATGGCAGTAAACAACGTATGAGAAAAACAACGTGATAGTTAGTGATAATATACATAATTTGATAAGGTATTCTGTAATCGCTTACTATTGTACTTTATAAAACAATAATTGTAGCATCTAAGCATACCTACTATTACACCACCACTTGAGCGCAATAAAACGGGCGCTTTTTAAGTTACGTCTGCTTGAAAACTGAAGGTCCAAGAATCCAGTCGTCCCAAAATGGAAATAGTACTTATTATGGTAAATGCCAATAATTGATAATTTCATAGTGACAGTATGTATTGTACTATGTAGTGTTATGTACTCATTTACCTTGTTAAATATTTGTTTAGCCACGCCGGGCGATTAACCTTTAGTCTCACTTCCATCGAATAAATTTCAAATAAAGTAATTTATAAAAACTTGCACCGCGGTAAAAAAGCAATTAATTACGGCAAAACACTGCACATCCGCTTCTGCTTTCGCGAAGATACGTTCAGTGAGTAAGCACTGGTTACTATGTACTGCGAGCACTAAGATATTACAGA